TCTTCGCCGATGAAGTTGTTGGTGGATTAGACAATATGGCGACTAGTCCTCTTCTACCAAACCTTGTAACCTTGTGTACAGTTTGTGAAGGTCATCGTAAGAGAGATCACTGTCAGCGATGTTTTGTGCCATTGATCTTTTAATTGGTCCGGTGTCGGTTACGTTGAACAAGTTGTCACTGAATGTTAGAAGAAGTTCGTGGCGTTGATCTCGGTAGAGCATGTTTGCCACTGCGTGGGGAGCACTGATGATACTGGAATTCTCAACGATGTTTTTCCTGGAGAGGCTTAATGACGATCCAAAAAGAATTTTTCTCAGCGCCCTGACATTTTCTAAAGCATCATGGGCGTCAAATTGTTCCTTGAACAAATGGTTGTAAAAGTTGCTTTGGTTTGGTTTGCAGTATCCACTAGAATCGAGCTCAAGTGCTTTATGTTTGTTTTTAATCAGTTTTTTCATCAGATGTAGACTATCCGCAAAGTAGACATTCATGTCAGTAATGCCATCCTTGAAGTTTTCATCACTATTTCTTAGGAGAGTAGGGACATCGAACGTTGCCGAATTATGACCAATTAAAACAGTTATTTGATTTTCATGTCGCTCAGAAGACTTGACTTTAGTTATAAGAGTCAGGAAGTCACCAAGTGCTTCCTCTATGGTTATACTTTCGACAGGAATGTTTCCTTGGCACAATGTCCTTACTCCTTTTATGGTCTTTATGGTCAGGCCATTGACAAGGTAGGCACTGTAACTTATGTTGCTTTTGGGAGAATGTAAATGGAGAATTCATGTTTCCCATTTCCACTTACAGCAGACAGTTTGCACATCTCAGCTAGCTTCCCTGTGCAAGTCGTTTATGTGTCAAAGATAACGAATTGATATTTCTGTTTTGAATCATATTGTAAGTGCACAATCTTTGGCCTTATAGTGTGGAGTGGTGTTATTTCTTCATATCCTTTTAGCTCAGTGAGTGATATTTCTGTAGGCATTTCAAATACATTTTGTGACCCTGTTTGATGATTTGTTGGGTCCAAATTTAGACCTGCTGAAGACTCATAGGTGACCCCTTCACTGACTTCCCTCCTGAGTGTTACCAAGCTCAATATTAAGAATCTCTAATGTTTTTCCAATGTGGTTGTATCCAATATTGGTTTGTGCCACCCCACATGCTACTCAAAAATCATTACTTTCACTTCCTCCATAAAAACGAGTTTTGGAGTTCTAAGAACCATTGGTGCTATTAAGACTTTCATTTCTCTGTGAATCTGGTATTGAGGGAGTTTCTTGTCAGTAGAATATTCGTCCAGAATGTCCTATTTTTCAATCTCCATGAGAGATCTTTGTTTGGCAAGTCTGTATGTCTGTAGGCAAGGGTTGTTGAGTCATCAAACCACACATGAAACATTGAAAATTTGACTCCCCAAAGATCGGGAGTTTTTGAGACCTTGCTTTCAGGATCTCCACAGTTTGGCTGACACAAAAACTGAACATCTCCATTGATTTCAATGCCCAGGTGGAAATCTTATTAAGATCTTACTAAGATTCTTGTAAGTTTCTTACTAAGATTCTTATTAAGATTCTTAATTAAGAATCTTGTAAGACCTTACAAGATCTTGTAAGATCTTGTCACAAGATTCTTACAAGAATCTTGTAAGATCTTACAAGAATCTTGTAAGATTCTTACAAGAATCTTGTAAGATCTTACAAGAATCTTGTAAGATCTTACAAGATCTTGTAAGAATCTTGTGACAAGATCTTACCTGATCTTGTAAGATCTTACAAGATTCTTGTAAGAATCTTGTGACAAGATCTTACCTGATCTTGTAAGATCTTACAAGATTCTTGTAAGAATCTTGTGACAAGATCTTACCTGATCTTGTAAGATCTTACAAGATTCTTGTAAGAATCTTGTGACAAGATCTTACCAGATTCTATAAGATTCTTAACTAAGAATCTTGATAAGTATCTTAGTAAGAAACTTACAAGAATCTTACACAAGATCTGGTAGGATTCCTGTGACAAGAATCTTAATTAAGTACCTTCACAAGTTTTCAAAAGAACTTGTTAAGATTCTCAACAATGTCTTAATGATCCCTAAAAGAACTTACAAGAACTTGTGAGATTTTCAAACAACTTACAAGAATTTTTGCAGAATCTGTAAAAATTCTTAAGTATCATATTTTTTTCAGACCATAGTAGGTAACTGATGGTTTATGCAATATTCAGTAACTGGATGATTGAGGAATGGAGATCACAACTAAGAAAGAATTTCTTCATCCAACATTAAGCAAAATTTATTGCAAATTCTCAACACTGTGAAATTAATTACTAAAAAATATCTTGATAAGAAACGTTAACTGGTAAACATGCACGATTTAAATGACAACTGTACAAGAAGAGTTCTTGTTCTTCCCTTTGGTGTGTTTTAAAAATTTAAAAAAAACAATTGTTTTAATTGTTGGAGTCATTTGACAGTTTGATTTGAACTACCATAGTTATCCTTACACAAATAAGCCATAATAACTAAAGGCATGTCCCAGTTTTAAATTGTTCTTCGTTTGATTCAAACTGCAATGGTTTTTCTTCTTTTAGAATAATTTAAGCATGAAAACAAAAAAAAACAACAAAATTTTGTATTGCAGCAAACGTGTTCAAAGAATTAAAGCTCACAACACTCATCTCAGTTGGCATTTTAGTCAATTTGACAGCTACTTGACAAGCAAATTTGCAAATATTTCAATTTTGTACAAATATCAACCAAGCTTTAGTTCATTCAACATTGCCCTCTACATTGTGAACTTTTCTCTTGGAATCCAAGCAATTTTTTTTATTCAAGTAGAGCCTTATTTGAGACCACCTCTTATTCATTTGGGCATCACCAAATTTCTGATTTATGGCTCCTGTGGGAAGAAAAAAAGAAAAAAAGAAAATAGTAATTTGTATACAGGTACAAAATATACTAAAACCTTGAGAGCGTATTTTTTAAAATCCCTGCCAGAGAGGAGTAATAGGAGCTTGGTTTCATTGTGAGGAGTACTTAGTAAGGTAGAGGGGAGGAGCTTCTCAATGGTTCTCCTTGATCACCATCATGCCTCATCTGTACGCAAAGGAAAGGAGGTAGTGACTATCTTTAACAAGAACTTATCATCTTTAAGAGCAAAATTTTTATGCACAGGTTCCCAGTTATGAATCTTGGCAATTTGCACTGCCCAACTCCAATCCAACAAACTTTGTTTACGCTTTGCACTGCTGAAACAACTATTCCAAATTCCCACAAAAAGTTGATAAATGAAAAATTACCTTTTTACAATCAGGAGTTGCCACTCTTCTATCCCATTCTGTGCTTGTAGCATTAAGATGGGACTCAAAGTCTACTTTATTCAGGATAAAATCATTTTTACAGGTGATCCTATTTCTCCAGTTCTCCTGTGAATATGAATTGAAAAAATGTTTACATTTGTTGAGCAATCCCTCCACTGAATTAAGTTTCATTAACCTTTAGAACAAAGAAAATTGTGAGAAAGGGAAGCAAGGAATCATGACTCAGCATTAAATGAAAACCAGAAAAAAATACACACACATTCACAAAACAAAACAAATAAAAACTAAACAGAACCAAACAAAATACAAAATATGTTGCATGGAATTAATACAGGTATAGAATGTGTTAGAGTAAAAATTGACAGGATAACAGTGCCAAAATTATTCCTTAAGCCATCTAAGTCAATGAAGTCTTGAAGGAGGGGGGGGGAAATGAACTATCATGCACCAACATTGAATATTTAGAGTTCTTACATCATCAGAAGAACTTCCCATTTTTTGGTAATTTTTGTTTGCTTTGGGAAGATTCCCATCACTGTGGACATGGTCGTGATAATCGAACCAAGTTTGGCTTTCATCATCATCATCATCAGTGGAAACTTTTAAGTAGAACGTGGCAATTTATAATTCATTATTTGGGAATAAAGTAATTCCATAATCGATTTCGCGTTGTTATTGCACCCTTTTAGCTTAACTTCTTGGTTATTAGTAAAGCCGAAGACAAATTAATTGTTTATTGTGAACCATTTCCATGCGAGACGACTGGAAGCTACGATGATTCTGCCTACAACACTTAAATCCGGAACAATCTCTCTTTTAAAACTGACTTGAGAGAATTGCTACAAGTGCAGTAAGGTTAGCAGCCGCCGTTACGGGGTTTTGATGATGATAGCGTTACATCTCGTGTCAGTTTCCACTCAATTCTAAACAAAAACGCTTCCTGACGAAATCGAACCCTGACGAGATTTTATGATTTGCCTTATATAAAAATACCGTGGCCTTACAATTACATAAACTTATCGTCACTTTTTTCGTCCATGCTAAAAGAATCTAAAAAGTGCGAGAAATAAGTCTATCGCATCACCTTCCAGCAGATGTGTAATGTTGATAACGTGAACTTAATGAATAAAAGTCAGTAGCACTTACCTTCGGGATGATTTGCCTTCATTTGCTTCAGTTGCAGTCGTGCACTAGTTGCTTTTTTGGAAATCTTCTCAAGATACTTAAACTACCAAGACCAATGTGTTCCTTGAGTTATGAAGCGAGTGTCGTGCACAATCATACGTGTGCTTTCTATGTGCTTAGATGTGTAAACTATTCACCTGAGGCCACTTCACGTGACAGAATAAAACAAGGATATCGCAACCTTGAATGTGTAATCGTAGTGTTCTTTCACAAGAAAAGCAAAACGCGATTTATCTTCTCTGGTGTGCTGTAAACTCATGTTACTTACCGACTGCGTCATTTTCTGTATTTTAAGCGACAGTAACATTAGTGATTTTGCAAAGAACTTGGCTTGTAAAATCCTAATTCTCGAGATCATTATTCTTCGCCAGGGCTTTAGACACAATTAAATTTCGCAACGAGGTAGATAACACTCAACCAAAGTAAAATTTCTGTAGAACTTTGCCGAAACGAAATGGCGCGTGAACGGTTGACAACAACGGTCGAGTGAACAATTTGTAATTTTGCGCCGGCCGTAGCGGGAGACTGGGGAGAGCCTTAGTGAAAGTACAAAATGTCACGCAACTCTCGCAAGTATTTTGTAAGTAACTACCTATAAACTTTTTAAAAATACTTTTAATTTCTGCCATCTGACCGGTCTGCAAATTTTCGATGTTTATTTGTTAGTTATATTGTAAAGAATTTGGTCGGTAAAATCCTAATTCTCAAAATCATTCTTCTTCTTTAGGGCTGTAAGGCACAGTTAAATTTCTCAACCAGGCAGATAACACTCGACCAAAGTGGAATTTCTGTCGAACTTTGTCCGAAACGATATGATGCAAAAACGGTTAACAACAACGATCAAGTGTACAATTTGCAATTCTGCGTATGCGCTGTGGCGTGGAATGCCTTGGTGAAAGTACAAATTTCGTGCAACTTTCTTGAAAAATATTTTTACAAGTAGCTAGCTATAAATTTTTTTTAAATACATCTTTTCATTCTGCCATCTGTCTGCATACTGCCATGTTTTTTTTCTGAACCATATCAGCGAAAGTCTCTTGCTTGTGGAATGTGGTGACATTATCTATGGGTGTCTTAATGTTCAAGGCAAAGATGGGAAGGTTTAATCCCTTTCTAGACACTCCCTATGAACATGATTAGTGATTATTTAAACTAGCTGTTCAGTATATTTCATAATCAATCATCAAATGTAATCTGAAAAGTCTGTCCAAATTTAATCTGTTGATACCATAATTCCAGTGGAACAATTACCTCGTTAGAAAGCAGCTGCATGTGTATTGTGTTCTCGGGTCTGAAATTTGCACACCATACCATGGAAGCTTACTTGACGTTATTTGATCCCCTTTTGGACATGGGATTTTTCACATCATGTGTGAGAGGTTTCAAGCCTTATGCATTCCCATGCTCTCTTATGAACAGAACAGGATAAGCATTTCAAGTTACTCAAGAATGTACTGGAATGAACTTGATAAAATCTTGTCAAGAACATTTAAATTCCTACTGATCTTAAAATTTTGATTCTTACAAAACTCTTAGATGAACTTTAGATGAAATCCTGTCTAGAATCTTTATGATGTTACATTTACAAATCTTACTTAATTATTAAGATTCTTAACAAACTTACCAAGATCTTGTCAAGAAGCTTGTAAGATCTTCCTTTTCTTAAAGATTAGGATTCTTACAACTGAGATTCTTAAGTGAACTTTATATGATGTTGTTAAGAACTTTCAAGATCTTAATGCCCATGTGTTGTAAAATTTTTTTTAGGATTCTTAAAAGATTCTTAAATAAACTTAATAAGATCTTGTTGAGAACCTTTCAAGATCTTAACCCCCATTTCTTGTAAAATTTTGTGAGGATTCTTACAAGATTCTTAAATAAACTTAATAAGATCTTGTTAAGAACCTTCCAAGATCTTAATCCCCATGTGTTCTTAAATTTTGTCAAGATTCTTACAAGATTCTTGTATAAACTTAATAAGATCTTTTAAGATCTTACAATGCTCAAACCTGGTTAAGATTTGTTCAAGAAATTTGGCAAGATCTTATTAAGATTATTAATTCTTAATAAGATCTTAGTAAGATCTTCATCTTAATTGCCATCTTATAAGATTCTTACAAGATCTTCCAAGATCTTACAAGATCTTCCAAGATCTTAATAAGATTTCCACCTGGGTGACCATAGTGATTATTTCAACAATCATGCTTTATTTCTTTCCCAGTTAATTTGTTATGGCTACATACTCGACACATCTTGCATCTTGTGATATAACTCACAACTTTTCCAGCAGTGAAACCCATGGCAGCCCCATGACCAGTTGCAGAGTTGTGTCCCCTTCCCCTTTTTTGCCAACCCATATCATAGGAGACAGCTACTCCAGGGAGATGGTCTGCAGATAGACCAGAAGATTTCTTGGCAATTTTTTTTTCTAAATTTAATTTAAATTTACAGCTGTCTGTAGCAACCTTCTCTAGGGCATTTCCAACTTCTCTTTCTCTTCTTTTAAACAGGTTAAGATTCTTTGTTGGTACATTCTAGAGAGTAAATTATATAGGTGGGTATTCCCCATGCCAGCATGGAGGGATCCCAATACTGCCCTTGTGTTGATATCGTTAACAAGAGGACCATGGCTTCCAGCTCTGTGTTCAGCAGAAGATTTTACTTCATTTACGTGACTACAGAAGCTGCATTTAATGTTGAAGATACTACTGAGACCACTTTGTTTTTCTTCCATAATGTTTGTAAGGGATAATGGACCTGTGGGTGCAATAAAATAATGGCCTTGTGATCAAAGTGGTTTATTTATGCATAGAAGCAAATAGTTTGAGGAAAGCAAACGATTTAAGAAAGTGGAAGTTCAAGATGACAGGAGGTAAGATATTGTACTCTGAAATTTGACCAGCAAGAAAAGTCATCTTTGAGCCTGTCTAAATGCCCATACTCAATAGCTAAAAAAAGTTTCCTGCACTGTGTTAAACAATACTAGTAATATTTTAAAATATTTTATTTTACCTAAAAATTATTTTACCCCCCTTACACAACAATACCAGAGACAAACATTTTAATATACTTATATGAGATTTATAAAAAGATCTATTATTTTTAACGACTTATTTTGTTTTGTGTGTCTTTTTTTTTATTCTTTTTGAGAGAAATATTTCTTTACCTCTTTTGCAGCTTGAGCAAGATTTCAACTCATTTCGAAGAACTGGAAGTTCAATCAGTCTTTTACCACAAATATCAACCTCATATTTAGTGTGCTGTAATGATAAAATTTTGCTTAGCTATTTGATTTCGGGTATTTGATTATCAAGAATCAAAAGAAGAAAAGGAAAGAAGAAAACGAAACAAATCTCAGTCGAACCAGCCAAAATGCAACAGCGATGCAACACATAACTTACCTGTTGTGACCTCGTTTTTATTTTCCTTGTAGGTTCCCAGTCTTTCTCTTCTTCTGGCAGATTTTCTTTCACTTGAGTCCTTTATGTCGCCGAGAATCATCTTCTTTATTTTCGTTTCTGTCTCCTACATACGCAGTGGCCGTTGAATACATCAAATACACTCTGGTGGGCAAACTTTTTACAAAATAAGACAAAAGATGCGTAGACCGAAAAAAGCCTCGCGCCGCCATATTTGTTTTGAATTTTTCGCCTTTCAAATCTCGCGCTTCCTTCGCGCGTTTCTCTCGCGTGACGCATGAGAGTGACCAACTCCCCCGCGAGGAAACTGGTACCAGCCACCTTTACACTCGCATTTTCATTAATAAGAAACCCAACAAAGTGTAGTTATATTACTGGCTGATGCTCGTCAAAAATGTTACGAATAATTTTCCTTCTAATTGTCTCAGTTAAAACATTTGATGAATTGTAATTGCCTGATTTCGTGTAAATTACACGCAACTCACAGTCAGACGTGCAATTGCGTGTAGGAAACGAGCGCAGTTTGCGTGTTGCGGACAACAAGTTGGAGTGGACAACAAGTTCATCATTGATGTTAGACGCCAGGCACTTTCTGGTGATCGTTAAGACTTTAGCCTTTGACTTGTTGATTGGGAGTTTATTTGAGTCGGCCCAGTGACATATTTCATTTGCGGAGATATTTAGTGAAAGTTTAAGTTCAAGTAATCATCAGCATAGAGGTCTACTTGTGAACTGACATGCACTGGTGGATCGTTGTTGAATAGTATGAAGAATAGTGGGCCTAAAATACTTCCCTGAGGAATTCCATGTTTCATCGGCGCCTTACTTGACTCCTTTCCACTCAGGTGAACTACTTGCTTCCTTCCATTCAAATAAGACCGACATATGCCTCCAGTTTCTTCAGTGATAGTTCATGGTCGACAATATAAAATGCTTTGCAATAGTCAATAAGCACCACTCCAGAGACCCTGTCCTTGTCCAAATTAAATAGTTCATCGATTATCCTGATGAGGGCAGTTTCAGTTCTGAGGTTTTTTCGAAAACCGGACTGACTTGAAAAAATCAAGTTATTATCGCAGAGAAAAGTGCATAACGTATTGTGCACATGGCGCTCAATGACTCTAGACAAAACCGGTAACACTGAAATTGGATGATAGTTACACGGATCACATTCAGCGCCATTCACGGGGCGTGTAATGAAATCTACAAGCTGTTTGCAATGCAAATTACGAAGTCCTTTTGCAAGGTGATGTTTACCATAGCCCAGTTTCTCTCTGAAGTCGATGTTGATATCGGAAACAATCAAAGTTTCTTTATTTAATAAATGAACCCTTTCGATGCTCGCTTCAATGCTCATGTCGTCAGCTTTGTTAGAAGAAGGTGGTCAGTAAATAAATGCTTGCAACTTTGCACAATTTAGCACAGAGACCGCGCCAATTTTATAACACGCCTCTTAAAGTTAAAGTTGCTTTCGATTTGTACAAGAAGTAAGTCCTAAGCTTTAAGGCTTTTTAGCTCACCGATACGCCCGGCCGATATACGATACTCAATATCCAATGCAACTAATTCGCCAAACATGAAGGAATATCTCGACTTATTGTCCATCATTTAAAACTGTGTTTGAGTTTTTTCCTTCATCTTCGAATTCCTCATTTTCTTTACCTTTAGTTCCTGGCGTGTAGCACCTCGCCATCTCGTCGTCCGTGAAGAAAACATCAAAAGAAGCGTTACAGTAAACTAATTTAGCCATAAAGCTAGTAGAGCACGCTAAATGTGTCAATTTGCGATCCTGTTCTACTCGACTATGGAATTACCACAAAAGTATAAACCAGAGTTGGAGAGGTGATTACTAACTCTGTTTAAGCCAAGCTTTTTTTTTTTTAAGGATAGAATTGTTTTACACCGCACACTGCAATTCAATGGTTTTTGTGCTAAAAGCTAAAAAAGGGGTCTCCGCATAGAAAACGCACATCACATCACTAACGACTAAAACGAATGCATAGGTGTGAGAGACAAGGTGGCTACCTCAATCTGCTTTTCATTATTAAAAGTTCT